AAAAAATTGCTAAATGAAAACTTTATGCACCGCAATATCTATTGTCTTTCAACTTGAACGCGCCGAGATGCAAACTGAAGAAAGAAGTAAAAAAAAAAAATAACAAAAAAGTTAAATTGCTCGCTCCTCAAGCGCATCGTTCTGCAGGAACACTAAAACGGTTATGCGTGTATCCATCCTGAGGTTAACGAGTTTGAAAATTGATATTGTTTCACTATTTTTCTTTGCGCATATTAAATTTCATTCAACCTAGGAAAAAATTTGCTTTTTTACATTTCTAGCATTGGAAATTAATGCTGAACTGTCCTAGAAGTTAAATTGTTATTTAATTAATATTTAAGGCATTTTACATTCCAAGTTATTCCCAGCATACATTGTGGTGTTAGAAAATGCTGATTTCAAATAAAATTAGCCGGTCATGTATTGTGATTCGCCAATGAGCAATTAGGTTAAGCTAAAAATATTTCCCATAACTTTGAGACGCATCTACACTCTTATGTTGCTATGGTCCTTTAGCGGGTATTTCGCATCCCTGTCCGGGTGGAAAACCCTCTAGTAGGCATAAATTGCATGTAATCTGCGGCCTCGGTAAATGCCAAAGCCAACGCTCATCTGCTATTAGGATCATGAAAAAGTACACAAAAAAACCGCAAAGATCTATGAATAAAAGCGCAGACTACCTTAGAAGGTTCCACATTTCACAAATGGATCGTAAATCATGACAAGTACTAATGGTAGGCTGTGTAAATCCTCGCTTCAGAGGTCAAAATAAGCTCAAAAGAATATTCCCTTTGTCCTCTGTTAGGAGCTCAAGATGAGTGGAGGAGAATAAAATGCACGAGGCTTGGACATTTGTGGAGTAATACATTGCTCCCAAATGAGATCTATGTGATGAGACAATTTTTACTGAATCACTACATTCGTTCATATTTAAATTTATTTTCAAATTTTGCCTTCAATTGTGTTGGTGCTGTTAAGTTACCAAAAAGAGTCGGAAAAAATTCCCGCAAGGTTCGCTGTTGTCGCCTAACAGCATACAAATTGAGCTTTTTCACTGAAAAGCATACAGCGCTGTTAAAGCACTGTTAGCATTACAGTTTGCATTACCCACAAAGCTGACCGCGATACTGCAATGAATGTTAATTTAAGTATTTTAAATAAAATTTGCTTTTTATTTATATTTAAATTAATTTATAAAAAAACTGTGATTTAATTAATTTGTATCGTTATTATTTTTATCTGAAAATTTCTCATAAATTTTTTCCTTATTATTTCTTTCAGAAAAACTTGCCAATCCTGCAAATGCCCCCGTGAAGCGCACGCAATCTACCAACAGCAAACCACAACGGTGCATGAGCGATTGGGCTTCAAGGTCGTCTCACCAGCGGAATCGGGTGTCGAACCGCGCGATCTCGGCTACACTTGGGTGCCGCCTGGCATACGTGCCTCATCGCGCATCAATCGCTACTTCGAACAGTTGCCAGTGGACAAAGTGCCGAAAATTGGTACGGAGGGGGCGCGCTATCGCGAACAACAAATCGCCTATCAGCTGCCTAAGCAGGATTTGTCGCTGCAACACTGCAAGCACTTGGAAGAGCAACATGAAGCGTCATTCGAGGATTTCGTGACGGCGCGTAATGAAATTGCATTGGATATAGGTGAGTGGAAAATGCATTCTGGATGTGAGAAAAAAAAATGATTGAATAAAATTTAATTCACTTAAGGTTACATTAAGGATGCGCCCTACGATGAGCATTGCGCGCACTGTGAGGGTGAGATCAATACCGGTGAAATGGTGGTGGCCGCGCCAAAGTTTATCGAGAGCGTTATGTGGCATCCGCGTTGCTTTACCTGCAGCACTTGCAATGAACACTTAGTCGACTTGACGTACTGTGTGCACGAGGATAAAATCTACTGTGAACGACACTATGCGGAAATGTTGAAACCACGCTGTGCTGGCTGTGATGAGGTAAGTGGAATGAAGTTAGTATGTGTGTGTGTGTAGTGTGGTATTGAGTATAACAGTGGGTTCGTGCGTGGTATACGTAACATATAATATGAGCAGTGGAATTTCCGTCACTCATACGTCGTGGCGCCTAAATATGTAGGGGGGCTATACAAAGCTCGTCGTGCATGCTGTAGAGTAAAAAGTTAAAATTAAATTAGATAAACGGACGAAGCACTTTGATAAAAAGGTACAGCAATTAACGTTGTATGCTTTCGTGTCAAGCGGTCATATGAGTTTTCAATTGAACGTATTCATTGCTACATACTTGTGCAACTGCTGTGCTTATCTCTGCACTAAGCATTAATTGGTAATATAAGACTAATGCTGGTCCACACCTTGCCGCCTTAATGACTGCCCACTGTCAGCAATGCCAGTTGCGAGCGCGATCAATCAAGGCTATCCTTTTCATTTAAGCGTGCGCGTGAGGCGTCTCTTTTTAATTTTCTTAATACACCTTCGTAAAGTCTTCTTGCTCTTATCTATAATGCCCACTACTTAGTATCCTTTTTAATCATCCTATGACTACACAGACCGCCGCAGGTAATTCAATATTTGGTCGTTTACGCCAACCAACTGTCAACTCATTATTATCAAAACTCAAAGTCACCTTTGACCGGTCGGTTAGTGCCTACAACAACATTGCTGAAGTTGGCACTCTTGTTGTTGCAGCAAAGGCGGTTAGTCGACAGTATGTTGCGGCACTCTTTCGCAGTTCTCACGCAGTGTTATTTATTTTCTAACTTCAAAGGAAAAATTATTCAGCATATTTTTGTGAAAGGTAAAATGTATTGCTTTTGGTCTAAAATTTTTGTATGAAATTCGAATTTGTTTCGCATTCTTGTTTAAGCTCACGCCCAGTTAGGATGCTGTATTTTTTAATGTAAATAATTTTATTGAAAAGTGCAAGAGCAAAAAAAGTCATAACAGCTTTATGAAATATCGAGAAGTTAACTGATTTTTTACTTTAATTGGACAAATTCGTTCATAACTTGTGTTCTAAAAAAATGATTAATACATTGCCTCTTGGTTTGAATTGAGCACAAAAAATCGATAGCGATAAAAACTACTCAGTATTGATAACTTCAAACTCAAATAATAAATAAAAATCTATTAGTCTGTGAGTTATTTCTATTAATTATACATAAATGTTGCAGTGAAAGTGAAATAAAATAATTCTTCCATATAAAAAAAAAATCGCTCATACCTTGTATGAAGAAAAATCCTAGAGCCGTCAGCAAAAAAATTATTAAAAATCAACGCGATTTGTTGGAAATTTGTACATTGTACTAAAATTGAATGGGCTATAAAACTGTATATCAGAAAATCTGAGTAAAAGGTTTAAAATTTTGATGAAAACTCGTTAAATTTTGCTTAGTTTTGTATACAGTTTGAAACTTTGATTTATATGTTTTTGTATGAACCATATTTTTGTACAGAATTAACAAAAAAATTATAGCTTGCAAAACATTGTGAATATTTAAAAGAAGGGTGGACGCCAATATAACGGAACGAAAATATTGTGCCCGAGCTCATTAAGTTTGACTGTTATCAGTTGTGTGTGAAGAACAAGATTTCCTATTATTTACCATTTTAGAGGCTTGCGCAGCTCGCTCTCGCTAGGGTAAAAAATAAAAATAATAATAAAAATTTCGTCAATTAAGTTTACACGGTAGAGGAACTCTAGGAGATATTCACTCTGGCTAGAGTCAAAATATTTTACAAGCTGTGTACACGGTAGGCAATCGTTACCACTCTCCGGGAGTTAGTTTTCTAGCTTGAATTGTTGTCAACGCTTGTTGTAAATATCGTGGCAACCCAGTTAGGGTTGTTTTTGGTACTAGCACATCAAAATTTGTATTGAAGGTGTACTTTAATACCTCCTACCAACCTACCCGTTAAAAACGCAGTTTCGAAAAAATTGTTCCTTGGGACCTTTGTGAATTAAGCTGCGATATGTACATGTATCAGAGCTATGATGTAGAAAATTAAGGTGGTGCCATCCGCGGACCGCTAACCCTTCGTTGATTTGGCAGCATTCACGTATTCGCTGACGTCATAAAATACTTTTTCGCACTAGAGATGATAATTAAATTTTCAAAATTGTAGATACTTATTTGCCGAAAAAAATTACCTAAAATACATAAATTTATCTAGAAATTAAATTTGTATTTTTATGTGTATAAATTTTTGATAGGGGTGGCAACCTCTCTCTTCGGTTCCACGTCTACTTTTGGACTCACATCAGACAATCATTGCAATTAAAAATTTCCTTAAAAGGAATTTCTCCCAGCCGTTCCAGCCAAAACTATATAGGTATTATCCAAGTTGGAAAAATAGCATATTAGCTCACGCAACGAGGCTTTTAGAAAAGCGGTTGAAATACCTGTGAAAACAAGAGAAAACTTCCCGATAAGTTATTTGACTATGATCTAAAATGGAGTGCTTGTACCGAATATAAGATTTAATGTCGTGGCCATTTCAAAATTTAACACACTGTGATGAAATTCATTGACACGATTTTACCTTACGTCTCCGTAAAGCCAAAAGTCTATTTGGTTTGCCAAATAGAGCATAGAGTTGTATTAGAATTTTCCGATCTAGTTGCGATGTACTATGTGTACGGCGAAAAAGTCTCGCTAAATAACTCTCACGTAGACTGTGTAGGTAAGGTGGTCTCGTAGAGCTCTATTGAGTGTTTACACGTCTCTATTGAGATCTAAGCTTAGCTTTACAAGGAGGTTTTCCTAGCCTTACCCTGGAAAGTGTTAATATTATTCTCGCTGAAAATTCCCTTAATTGTTCTGCAGTGTCTAAATAAATGAATGAAAACTGAAGCTATAAGCTGAGGTCAATCTTTAATATACGCATGTGATAATGGCCGAAAACAGAGTTAGATTCCAGATACGGAACGGCGAGATAACGCTCGATCTCTTGACTCACTATACGTCTATTCTGCGCAGTTTGTCTTCGGTATACATTTAACCTGAATTTGTGCACAGCTTTGAAGTTAAATAAAAACTTTATTTGTTTAAAAAAAATACATATTTCATTCAGTTCCTGATTAACTGTTTCAAGCTAAACTATCTAGCTCTTTGTTTGTTTGGTAATACCAGAACCAGTCCACCTAGTCAAGGTTTTGCATGTTCAGCACCAGAAATGGTCAGTTTTCTCTGTTCTAAAGTCTGTTTTGGTGCTGACCAAAACGTATCTAAACTTAGAAAAATTGGCTTGTATACACCCATCCACTCTCAGGATTGTAGGACAAAATAAGGGACTTCCACATCAGCTTTTTAGACCTTGCATTTCTAGTTTTAACTTACCACATAATTCTGAGGTCATTTTACCCTTATAAGCGATTTAAACCCCGAAAGGAGACGTTTTGTATACTGATGGCTCCACACGGCACAATAACAGGTTTTAAGGCATTTGGGTACCGGGACCTAGTGGAGGCATAAGGAGTGTAGTGCCAGATATCTCCCACCACAGTAGCAGAGACACATGGATTCATAGACCCAGTACCCTTCATCATCCAGAAATGCCAGCTCATCTACAATGTTGGAATTACGGTATATTAAGAAAATTTGGAAAAGTAAAGTACTTAAACAGCTTTTGAAATATAAATGAAATGATTCGCTTTGAAAAGTATGAAGGAAAACGAAATTCTTCTATCCAATGTTTATAAGTAAAATACTTAAAATTAAATAAGCAGAGAAGGCGTCGTTTCAAAACAAGACATACGTACATATATACAAATAATCGCTTTTGAAAACTGCAAGCAGCGCTGTTCGGCATAAATGATCTCTAAATAAATACTGTTTATTTATAGCCCGCTTTCTTTTCCACCTCCTAAGTATTATCGCACATAACTCACATTTTCACATTATTTGCCAACATGTAAATGAAATAGCAGCAACTTGTCTGTCAGCGCATTGAACACCTCAGGCATTGATTGGCAGTTTTTTCAAGTTCAACTGAAATGTGTTTCTTCGTGATCGTGAAGGATCATGAAAATTTCCAGAAGTTTGTTTTTTTAAGACACGAATTTTAGAACTTTGAAAAAAAAATACTGCAAATTCTAAATTAAAAACTAGTTTAGATTAAATAAAAACTGTTTAACATAACTTTATTTATTTGTTTTTGTTATTTTTTTGGCCTTTATAACATTTATTTATATTGAGCTCGAGGCCGTTTTAAATGAAAATTTTTATTGTGAAAAAGCAACAATAATTTGAAAAAAGGGTAGAAGTGATAGCTATTTCGGAAATCACCACATTTCCATCAGACTTCTTTCAGTAGGATTCGAACCGACGATCCCACTGACTCAGCCAGTTGCCTATGCACCGTGCTAAGTACGCCTTGTAAATTATCGTTTGCTTTTTTCCACTATTTTCATTTTTGTTATGCCAACACAATCAAGTGCAGCTATTCCGCTGCAATTCACTTGATCATGTGGTTGTTGGTATTGTTGGTTTTTTGCTAATAATTCTATTTTTAGAAATTATTGTTGCTTTTCCACAATAAAAACTTTCATTTAAAGCGGCCTCGAGCTCAATATAAATTGTTGAATAACTTTATTTAGATTTTGCAAAAAAAAAGTTTTTTAAAGTTAAAAAATTCAGATCTTTAAAATCAAAAACACACCTTATTGAAAATTTTTTTTTTTAATTTTAAAATACGAAAAAAAAGTTTTTGCTTTTAAGTTTTTTTTATTTCAACATTCTGTAATTTTTTTCATTTTTCGAATTTTATTTATACATTTTTTCTACATATCTCTAAATGCCACCTTTAATAAAGGACTAGAACAATTTTTATAACTATAATAGTTTTAAAGTTTTCCAGAAAAATAAGCTTGTAAAATACCGGAAATTATGAAATTTAGAACTTTGCATTACTTACAAAAACCTGTTTTTAATTTTTTTACACTTTTGCAAAACTTCGTTTTATGATAAATGAAAAGCTCT